ACCAACATGGCATTTATGGCTGCTGGAATAAGTATAAAAAATATCTTAGATAAGTATCAAAGTTTTGTTCATTTCTTTTTATCAGTGTTCATAGCTGTTAAATAATTATTATGATCCATACAACCTCGAAGCTTTATTCTAATCTCTTGATTCACCATTCGTTTTGTGTGACATGAAAATTGAAATAAAAGCTTTATTAACAATCGCTTCAGAGAAATACACATTTTCTGTGTGGGTATATTATAAAAAATACTACACGAAGAGTAGGTAATTTTCATTTGCGAAATCAAAACTTATGATTTCAGAGAATAATAAATTTTATTTCCGCAAAACAAAGGTAGGCATAATTCCAGAAGAATTTTTTCTGAAAGCTTAAAAATAAGCCCTGCATTTTTGCGGGGAAATAAAAAACAAAGCTCTCTTGTAATGAATACCAGCGCACACGTAACACTGGTTTTTCAATTAAATGAGATGCAAATGTACTTCCCAGAATTTCTGAGCGCTTAATTAAAACAGATGGTTCTCCGAGCTGGGCATACGACCCGTAAAGTTCGTCTCATCATGGGCAGACCCCTCAGTGGTCCAGCTTCTTTACGATACTATACGGTGCAAAGTATGCATGTTTATGTGTCGACAAACTCGTGCAAGTTGTTTCGGTGTGCGCCAATACACACGTGAACCCGATTAGAAGCCGCCGGCAGTGGAGGGAGCGAGTAAGGTAAAGGGTTGACCAAGTCCCGTTGCCCCGGGAAACCACAGGGAAGCCCGATTTTGGTCACAAGTAACTCGGCAAGTATATAAACACCACCAGGCCAAGTTCGGATGTTTACGCGCCATGAAAGTTCGTATGCTATTTTGCACGATTTCTCGTTGTATCTCATTTTGTTCGAACTACTTCGCCACTCCTATTGTTAACCCAAAAATTTGCGTTTATGAATTTTTAACTTGCACCTTGTTTAATGAAATTATATTCCTTGACGTTATTGAGAACCGAAAAAGCTCTACATCTCTATTAAGATACAAAGGATTTTACAGTGTATCCTAACATGTGTACCCAGCAAAGGTAACAACCTCAATGATTTCAAACAATTTCAATTACTTTTTTTTTTTTTTTTGTTGATTACACTCAGCAATATTTCAATCTTGATGTTTCGTGTATCATTTACCAATAAGTATGATGTTTTTCATCTTCCAAAAGATCTTTCTGCTTGTCCATCTTCTACTCTGTTGTACCGTTCAAACGAAGAAATCCTTTCGACCTTTGCACTTGCGGGAAAACACATCATTCCGATTTTGGCACATATATAGTATATAGGTGCAATCAAGGACAATACGTTTTTTTGAATGACAATGAAATCGGCTACTTGAAAAAGTCCTTGTACTTTATAGTTGTTTAAACGGGAACGCGCTTGAGATACCATACTCGAAAGTTTTTTGAACAAATGCGACCATCCAGATCACTCGGCCGCGCTTTTCTATCCGTGATGTGTTTTATATCCATGATGTGTCGTGATCGTCGATTCACAATACCAGCCCTTTCGAGCATGTTAATGCTTCATGAAAAGTGTACGATACATCGTGCAACGTCAGTGAAGGAATTTTCAGAAAAAAAAAAAAAAAAAAAAAAAAAAAAAAGATAAAAAAAAACTACTTAAACGCAGCACGTTTGTGTAACGAGAGTTTAACTCGTGGCTCGAAGTTTGTTTAATACGATCGGAACGTGAAAAAGACGTAACACGTGTACCTACCTATATAATAATATATATCCCGGTGGGCGCACGGGGTGAGGAGGGTTAAATTTGTAATCCCTTGGCTTGACTCTCGAGGCTATACAAGCAGNAAAAAAAATCCGAGCGTACGACAAAACGAGAGGATCGACGCGCAAAGACAGAAATAGTGCTCGGGTGGAACTATTTTTCCTCTCCGACAAATGCACGTTTTTTTTTTCCCTGGGCGTAAGTACAAAACAGTCTTCGAAACGACTCGAACGTGTGCCAAAAACCGAAGGCGCCACACACGCACACGAACCCTATATGCATTATTCTCCATTCTCTCACCCCCAAAGTGTACACAGAATAAAATTTTCCGTCTCAGTCGATCTCTAATATCGTATACTACTATATCCCCGAAACTCGAGCTATATACCAACTTCTCTCGCTGCAATTATTTTGCTAGCATCGGCATGCATGCACGTACACCTACATGCGCCCTCGTATCGCAAGCTTCCACTAACCCACACATTTGCGCACACTCCTCTATCCGAGCTCACGTTTCGCCCTTTCATTTATTTCCCTCCCCTCGTGTATTGGTACGTATATACATATACGCAAAGAAAGGGCCCATTGTTATTTGCATCCGTATCTTTGTCTCTTCCTCTTCTCATGCGGTATTTTATATACCAGAGATGTGGATACGCAAATGCGCGCCGGGTAAAGGCAGCTTCCAATACATTTGCCTCATCGGCGTTATACGCGCGTGCGATATCGATCGCCCCCCGTGTATGGAGGGAGAAGAGCTTCTTCTTCCCTATAGGTATGTTATGTATGCGTGCACGTTGAGTCCGGATTTTCTCTGTCTCTCTCGACTCGATGATTCCAAAAGTATTCCAGGTCAGGTATACAAGTACAGAGTCGACGCGCTTTGTTGTCGGCGCCACAGCCGGGCCATGACAGATAAGTACAGAGTCGACGACGGGGATGTACAGGAAAAGGTGTGGTACACGCGGTTTATTGCAAGGCGCGATTCCCTCGAGGCACTGCGACTGGACAACTTGTAATTCGTTGTCCCACCCGTAAGTCAAAGTCGATCCCGAGAGATGGAAAAAGTCGGACGGTGGAAAAACGCATCTCCACAGTGTTTCCACAACGAAGCGCGAGACGAAAATCGACAGGCGCGCGGAGTTGGACAGGCAAAAAAAAAATAGCATTGGTAAACATCGTTGGGCCACAAGAGAATCGCGCTCATTATTTCCAAAGCTTCTCTCGGGAAGTCGGGAAATTCCCCCCCCCCCTCTACTAGGGCGTTTTATCTTTCAAACTAAACCAAGTGGATAGATTCCAGGGTAGATTGTACCTTTTTTTTTGCCCTTTACCAATGCTGTTAAAAAAGGGCGCTTAAAAACGTTGCCTCCCAGTCGTTACGCTCCTTTAGCTCCGGGTCTACATGTGTACACTGACAAACGAACTAACGTATACAAACAGGTGTCCTTTTTTTCGCTGCACCTCGAATCTGCTCGGGTTGTTTGATAAAGTTTCGAAAGTGCCGGGGCAAAAGGGCAAACAGGAAGCGATTCTCCTGTGTACATATTACACAAGGGTGGTCCAAGCGCTTACACGCGAGAGGTAGTTAACTGTACGATGAGCATTTGTTTTCGCCTCGCTGGACGCACCTTTGCGCGAACCTTTGTTGCAGTTGCAGCAGGAGGGTATTAATGAGACCTTCCTCTTTCTTCTACTCCCGTTGTCTGTGGGATTCTATCGTTATAAACGGGTAGCCACCGAAAGAGGGTAAGTCGACCGAGTCCCAGGTGAAGGAGCACAGAGAGAGAAAAGGATGAGGAACAGGGCACATTGAGGAATGTTACGGTAGTTACGGCTTTGGGGGAAAGTAATACCGACACACCTGAGGGGGAAAATTTATCTTATGACTTCAAGTGTGAGTGATGGGAAAATTTTTGATTTATTTTTTGCTGAATGAATGAGTAACGTGATGTAGTTGATAAAATGATTTTTAATTTACAGTTAGAACTCAAGAAAATCATCTTTAAACTAAAAACAATTATCTATTTCATTTTTATAGAGCTGGAAAACGTTGTCCTATAAATTTGCTGATGAGCAAAGATGGACAATAGATCCTGACTCTAAATTACGAAAGAACACTGGATTATTCACGGTTCCATGATTTTCCATTTCTGCAGAATTTTGGGATAAAATTACACGGAAGAATCGTCCCTGCTGAAGTGTACCGGTATCCCGAGTTTTGGTGTACTATGTCAAGAGAATTCACATGAAGAGAGTATGGTATCATTACACTAGGAGTATAATGTTAGAAGCTATTCCAATTTTTCTGTCGACGGACTATCATGTAAGTATACAACTTTTAATTGTCTTTTTGTAACAAAGAAAAATATTATTACTGATTAAATCTTGTATCGATAAAATACTTTTTATTGATACAGATGAATTTATATGTTCTGGACAGACAAATATGTTCACAAGTTTGTGCTTCAATTGATTATTCGTCGACAAGTATTTTAATTTATTTTCAATGACACTCAAAAACTCTCTAATTGGTAATTCTTCAATTTTGGGGAGATTAAAGCTCAATAGTAGTATTCCAGAATAATTAGCAATCCCAATTAATTACTGAATTTCAAGTGTCATTTCAGTAATATTGCAAAATATTCAATATTCAGTCGTAAAAAATTATTAAATTCACAACTTATATATATTGATAGATATTGGCAAAGTAGTATCATAATATTACAATCGCATACATAGGAATTTAACACGTATATGTGTATGAATATATTTCAAGGGTAATACTGTTACCCGTCAAAATAAATTGACATTTTATTTTCCTGCGTAAAATAAGCATATAGATCTGCTACATCCAAAGAATAGGAGTTTTTAATACAACTATACGTCATCTAATGAATGTAAATTAATCTAGTTATAACTTAGAGTCCAGCACCGTAACAAAAAATTGACGGGGATATTTTTGATATTCAAGTGATTTTCAAAAATTTACATCAGTGCACGTGAGAATTTTTCACAAACTTTAGTCGTAAATCTCAAAAATATATGTTTCAAAGACATCACTTACCTTCCAATAAAGTATATAAACATCAATAGCTCGATAAGATTTATTTTTAAGAGAAACGAGAATAAAGGAAACAATATCCAATACTGATAAAGGCAATCATGAACGGGAAAACGGGAATGGCGAAAGAGATGAAAAAAAAATAAATAAACGAAGTGGACAATAGCTGGTGTACGCACCGGAGTTGGGTTGATCGTTGCTGTTCGGCCGTGCGGACGGTGCGCCGTCCCTCGCCTCGACTTCGAGAGCGTAAGCTCCTTGCTTCTCCCGATCGAAGACAATCTTGGTGAAGATCTCGCCGGTCTCCCTGTTGATCTCAAAATATTCCTTTCCCTCGTTCCGCTCGCTCTCCACCACGTAATACGTGACCTGCACAAACAAACATCGTCTATTAGTATTGATTATTAAGATTTTCCGATAATTTGCTTGACATTATTGTCTACAGAAATGACAGTCAACTCAAATGAAGACTATTTCTTAAATCATTCGGAGGAAAACTTTAATTTCTCACAATGAATTATAACGATAAATATATGTCACAGCAGCATTTTGCCCCAAGAGGAGACAGTATTTCAATCTATATTAACAATCTGTCGTCGTAGCTGCTCGAAACTTTCGGAATTTCTCTCCACTCCAACTTTGCTTTGGACGACAAAACGTAAGTTCGCGGAAATTAAGTTAATAAGCACTTTGTCTTGTATCAGAAGCTTTTTCAACTTAAGTAATTTCATGATTGTCTGCTGCTAATTGCACTTGAGCGACTATCATAAACAAACTGCGCCACTCAAGAAGTCCCTTTCTTATTGTCTCGATGAAAAGGAAGCGCGAGAAACTTTTGAGATACAAGCCAAAGACCAAATGAAAAGTTTTTTTATTAAATAATGGAGGGCTTTTAAACTATGTTTCTTCGAAACGACAATGTAATAGCATTCACTTGAAAGTTTGAAGCAGCGATAAGTGCCTACTTTGATGTTAAAACAAAAAATAGCTCTACAAATATTAATATTATGGAGAGAATGAAATCTTTTATTAAGCCTGAACCCCTTAAAAGCTCATTTTAATGTAATGCATGATTCTTTAAATTTTGAGATCATTTGAAATAATCAAGCATTTTTTAAAAGTTACAAGTCCAAAACTCGATAAAGAAAACATTGCACTTTAAATGAGCAAAACTTTTATGACTTCAAATAGCAAAACTTTTTTTAATAAATAATGGTACTGAATCGTTGTGCTAAAGAACGTAACAATTTTTATACTGCATCATGTGGTAACCATCCCCTAATGTAATTTCATGTGGTTTAAAGCTATTCCATACTGATGAAATCAATCGTTTTTCATACTACTAAAGTATTAGGTATCATAAAAAAAATACTACCACAATCACGTATGACATCGTACATTTTGATGACTTTCATAAAGATAATAAGGTACAGTCATCGATCATGAGATGTTTTAGATGAGTTATTTTTCCTGGCAATTAGTAGATGTACACATTAGTAATTGTAATTTTTCATTTAACAAATTTAATTTTTGAAAGCTTGTTTTCCTTAAACGTTTTTTTGTTGGGCCACCGTGAAAAAAAATGTATACAGCCTGTTGGATAAAATCTTTTGTACAAAATCATGAGTTTGCACATGTGGGCAATGAGGAGGCAGTTTGTACCAATTTGGGGAGTCTGGTTTACTCCAAAGATGCTACAACACGTTGTAAATGTTTCTTTGTAGAAACAAACCGAAAAACCCTCGATAAAAAAAGCTCATTAATTACAAGAGAGAGACCATTTGTCACCAAGAAAATGATTCGAACCTTATTATTGGGGAATGTGCCGTCCTTGTCTATGGCGTTGACCTGCGTGACCTTACTGCCGACCGGCTCACCCTCCAGCACGGTCTCCTGCTCGCGCTCGGTGAACAGCGGTATTTCGTCGTTAACGTCCTCCAGCATGATGAAAACCGTGGCCTCCGAGGCGAGCTGCTGCGCCCCATTGTTCTGAAAGAGAGAAAAACCACGCGCCCGCGCGCACATGTTTGTTAATCGAGATGTAGATACAGGCCAATATGTCACCTGACAATTTTATCCGTTTCACGGTATATTGCCGGCACTCGTGTGTATTTTTTTTTCTTTTTTTTTTTTTTTTTTTTTTTTTCTCTTTTTTAGTGAGCGGGCACTTCGTATATTCGTTCGTTTAAGATTGATATATCGATTGTACTGCTGTTCCGGAGGAGAGAACGTGAGTGTTCGCGATAATGAATTTAAAAAAAATTTTTTTTTTTTATGACAACTTTGAATTGGAGCGATGGGTAACGTCTCTCTTTCTCTCTCCGTTCCGTAAAACGATATACACTTTTTAATATTTTTGTTATACGAAATAACAGTTATAATGAACATTTTTTTCAATCATCAATAGATATCATTCAAACTTTCGACGTAACTTTGATTTTGTTTTTTAAATTTTAATTAAATTTTATTCATATTTGTACAGTAGGTAGAAAGAGTGAGAGAGAAGGATAATAAACAAATATTGAAGAATCGCTGTGAAACTTCTACTTTAATAATACGTGAAGTGATATTTTTTAATTAATTATTGCTTTATATTATTGCTTTTATAATTTTATAAAAATTTACCTAATTTTTAGTACTTTCAAAATTTTAATAAAAAATCAATTTACATACAGTTTAAAATTAACAGCTTAATAAAACAAAATTCTACAGTTGAAAGAATTCCGCGTACTCTCTACGTTTTCCCTACGAACTTTTTTTCTATCGGAAAAACTTTGCTGGGATTCATTGTAGTAATTTCAATTGGTGCTCTGTTCATTTTAGATATAGGATCTACGATAATTAACTCGTGGAAACTAAATTCTCGAGTTTCTCGTTACTAACAAATGTTTTTCTTCGTCGTTTCTTACATTGTTATTGGAATCCCAAGAAATAATAAATTTTTCAATTGCATTTTTCAATTTTTTTGTTTCACCCCGGAAATATATCAATTCATACAAAGTCGGATTCTGCGGGTGTTACTGATACCTGTACGATTAATAATTGATAAAACTTATTCCGCTGTGTAGAGTTGATCATACCATAGTTTCGTTATCAGTGCCAAAATTTACTAAACGCTACTCTTTCTCTCTTTCTCTCTCTATACAAATATTTAAAATGAACAAGAATTATGGCATGTACATCAATAGTACTATAATTAGAATTTTAAAAAATTTACATTTCTCTTGCAATACTGCAAAATCTCCTTTATCTTAAATTATAATTATTTGTATGGATTACGTGAACGACATAATAGGGGTAAACGGTACAGTTATTGACACCTTAAGGTAGTGATTGACCCTTGTATAATTTGTATATCTATATATAAAGGCTCCATTTAAAAATGCATGTGGCGGTCAATCACTATCGGGGGGTCAACAACTGTACCGTTTACCCCTATATGTATTTACAAATTTCTTACCTCGACTCTCACGGTTAAATTGTACTCCTTTATGCTTTCGAAGTCAAGGGGGTGGTTAACCTTTATGTCCGCCCAGGTGACCGAATTTTCGGGCCGCTGTTGCAGATAAAACGTGTGAAACTTGTTGGTTTGTGCCGTCGAACCGGGCATTAAGCGGTAAAATACGACTGGATTATTTTCGATGCCAGAGCTGTCAAAACATGGAGAAGAGCTTTTAGGTCAAGTGCTGTCCTCGTCCTCTTTGCTTTATGATACATACATATATATATAATACATACGTGGGGAGTTGTGGTAGAATATAGTGATAATTGGTAGTAGTCGTAGTTATAGTAATATAATAGTACTAGTATGTATGTATACATATATTGGGGCTATTGGTGCGCGTGACGTGCAAGCGAGAAATTTAATGTAGTATGTAATTGTTTAACAATTCATTACGATAGAAATGGAGAACAGAAAAAGAACGAAAAATAAGAAATTAAACCATTACAGGTACGAGGAAATGTACAATATAATTATTATACCTATGTGATATTTTTTTTTTTCAACTGCTTTACCTATACAGTATACTATACCAATGATCGAGGTTTCAGTATACATATTACGTTTATGTATGTGGAGGTAGTATTTAATTTATTGACGATTTTTGCCTGTTTATTTTTTTTGGTACATTAATCATACGTAAAGATTACAGGTATACAGGGTTTTCACGCCCATTCGACATGCATTATGAATGTTGACTTCTATTACTGATTGTCTTGTTATACTTGGTTTTATAATTTACAACGTAGTTAACGACAAAAAAGCAACAATCATCTCTTTCTCGAGCGTATTACAAAATAAAAAAAGCAGAAATCGCCAACAAAATTACTGACCAATGGTTCCAAACAAAAGGTCACTGCATGCGCTTTACGTGAAAAAAAAAAAAAATTTTTAAACATCAAACAAAATCATACATCACGTATGAAGAAGAAAAAAAATTACTTTTCATAATGATTGTATCATGTCAAAGAATAAACATCATCGAGTATTACGATAATGTAAATGAAATAGCAGTAAAAATAACAAAAATAAGAATGTAATACGGGATGGAATAATAATAATAATAGTAATCATAAACATATCTAGTTTACACTAAAATAATAATAATAATAATAATAATTTACCAACACATCGTGAATAAATTTTTTACTCAGCGCGCCACAACCTCTTAATGCATGTAAATTTTTTTTTTTCATGTTTCAACAATTTATATGCGTTGGATATCGTTACGATTTATCCATCTACACTGCGACAATGCACCAATTAAGTATCAACGCACAACAACAACATACACAATGACCTTTTTATATATCTTTGACTCAAGCAAAGACTACAACTCCTCTACTATTATAATTATTTACTGCAGTGTGTATGTGTGCAATGGACCTTCCTCTGCTGTATAGCTCACCAATACTCTCTACCATACGCACAAACACAGATACACACAAATTCATTTAGCAGCGTTTTAGGTGTACAAGCACACACACACACACACACACCATTTATAATTACACAACGGAGGGGTTTGTTAGCCGGATAACTAGCTATGCATGAAGTGTTCTGGTCTAGCTTGTACAACGCACATATACCTACGTATACGTAAAGTGTTAAATAACCCAGGCGTGGATATTAAAGTGGTAGAACACACAGCGCCAACGTATTATGTCCACTTACACGTGAATGTGTATCACTTTTCTCGCCGAGCAACCCCTCACCCATCCTCCCTCCCTCGATTTTTACGTATACCCTAACCGGCGTACCACCTCACACGTCGACAGCAGTTTTTCTCTAATACGCGCTCATTTCCTCCTCCCTCTGCACCTGTTTCCGCTTCGAGGCCTTTTTTGTCAGAGGCATACGTTGCATATTGCACACCTCCACCCCCCCCCCCCCCCCCAGCGCCCTCGAGCATCCCTTACCCCGAGCGTGTGTTGGACGTGCCATTTACGTACTTGAGTAGCCGTTTTTCTTGTACACGAGCCAACTTTAGCGTGCGACTCGCGAGGTCCACGTGCAGTGTAATGCGCGTCCTCGAGTACATTGCATTTTTTATTTTTGCACTAGCTGCAGCGCTATACGGTACGAGGAACAAAGTAACAGGGGGGGACGCAGCGTATATAAATATATGCACTTAATTAGGAAAAGCTCCCGCGGGCGGCGTTAGCCGGATAAGAGGGAATTATTCAGAGACGCGCCTTTTATCCTCCTTTACCTCCTTTTTTTCTTCATCCAAGCTCGCCTAGCGACTGTAAGTATACCCATATGGACTTGCCCTGTCTTCTTATTGCACACGTTTGCCGGTCTTTCTATACGAGACATATGTAATTGTCCTATACTCAAATTTTCGAATTTATTATTCATCATTAAGTGGCTCCGGATGTAGCTGATGGACCGAATAAATTAATTATCCAGAATTTTAATCCCATTGTTTTTTTTTTTCTTTTATTAATTAATCTCTAGACCGGTACACAAAACAATGCCTAATCAAAACTCTGATTAGGTACACAATAAAGAGATAACTTTTGTTAATGATAACAGTATATGCTAAACACTGAAGCGGTAAAGCACACACTCCTTTACCAATGAACGTGCTGTTTAATATCGCTCCAGCGAGTTACTTGATTATACATATATATATATACCTATACCCAATGAGAGTTTTAAAGATTAATTGTTTATGTACTGCTGGTATAAACGAAGATTAATTTGTTTTTTAGCTGTAAAATTTATTAACTAGCTGTTATGGTAGAGCAATGGACTTGTATCCGCGTGAGCTGCAATTTTAAATGTCGATTTTTATGTACTATAGCTAAAAAATCTTTGAGCGCGTATACGTACGATAAGTGTACATAAATTCATTCATGAAACTTTTATCAGTTACAATGGTACATTAATACTCGATGTTGAAAACATAATTTAAAGTCAGAAATTCGGATCAAAGTAGGTACAATAGAGATGCGAGAAATCAAATGAATTAATTCAAAGCCAACATTTTATGCTTTTCTGCATTTCGGTTATTGTACGCAAAATTTGTTTAAAGGTTTCGTGGTTTCGCGTTGCTCCGAAATTTCAACGAGTAATTACTATTGAAGTTTCGAAAGTTACAGAGCTTACAGGACAGATTATTGCTTAATGCAAGAACGGCAAGTTCATAAAAGCTTAGGGATGTACAATGCCAATATTATTGTACATTTATAATTAGCTTGAACCGATTTTGGACTAGCGTTTTGAGAGGGAAAATTTAAAAGGAAACACGTGCTTGTTTTGTGTCAGATATTCTTTACACCTTTACCTCTTTACTTTGTTTTTTTAATTTTAAAATATTGCAATGGGAATTTTAAGTCAGATTATCACTTCAAAAATTATTCAAATAAGATTAATTCTGCAGGTACCTATTTAGTCTCAAATCACTTTTAAGCGTCAACCTACGTACATTTGTATCTTTTAAAAATTTAACCAAACCAATAGCTCAACGTGTCTATATGTAGACAATGTTTATATAATATGCTTTACCTAAAAGTCAAAGGCATTCTATCGAATTTTTTTCTGTCTCCGGGCCATAGCGAACCATTTCAGCGAATTGGCATTTTTCTAGACAAGTTGGAGGTTGCGCGGGATCCCTTTACGAGAGCGGAAAAACAGTTTTTTGCTACAATGCTATCGTATCAATCGAAAGGCACGGATTGAAGATAATACTTACATTTGAAAAACCAATAGTTCAATAAAACGCAAGATTTTCACTACACTGGAGATATATTTTTTTTTTTTTTTTTAAAAATTCGATTTAAAATTTAATAAAAATCCAAACGCACGGTGAAACAATGCAATAAAAAAACGAAATTCTGTTCTGTAAGGATTTTTAACGGCAAGAATGCGTAGATCAAAAATTGTAGTATGATTGAATCGAATACCGATGTCAACTTTTTCTGCCAATAAATCGCTTTTGACTTTTTGAAGAATCTACGACTTGTCAAAACATCCGGTATCCCAGTACTTTTAAATATATATGTATACGTTTGATTTTTGGTTCTAATATTCAAGTATAGAACGGATTACATATATATATATATATTTACTTAACGTTTGATTATTCGATATTGGCTTAAACACTACACTGTTGTTGAAATATACATACTTTCTACCGAAATGAAATTTCGAACACCGAAGCGATGGTCGATATTTTGCGAGCTAATTAAATTATACGCTACGATTCGCTAATTGGGAATCTCGGTTGATCGCAGAATAGCAAATCACGCTTGTATCATAACGGCTCTCAACGAAATGTATTCCAAACACTAAGCAGCTTTAGATGGTAACAATAGCATTCATCCAGTATGTGTATGATTTTAACATGCCAAAACAAACGATTGCTAGTTAAAAACCCATTTCTCGTTATTCCAAATCAAAGCCATCTCGAAGATAGATTCGCGTTGTCCTACAGAGCGCTCAATATATTTTCCAACAACAAATACGTGTCTTTTAAAAACCATCCCCCGGCGCATCGTAAAGTTAAAAGCAATAATCTCACCGATTTGGCAGAATATACTCGAGTGTACGCATAATTTACCATTAATTTTGAGGGACGTACGCGGCAAGATCGAATTAACCCTCGGAAAAGAGGAAAAATGACACCAAAAGGCACCTGAAGTCCTTGACGTCAGCAGTTCTCACGGCGCAAAGAAGAGAAATAGGCAGGTATCTTGCGAGGAAAAGAAAAGATAGCCCGACACGGGGCAAATGACTGTTTCTCCGTTTCAAAAGTTAGCCCCGAGTGCGCGCAGGGCAGTTACGGCGGTGGTGGTGGTGCACACACGCGAGAAGAATCCAAAACTTTTTCCACTAATCATTAATCACCGGTATAAAGCGCGTACGGGGCCGTGGCTGCTTCGCGTGTACAATCATCGCGAATATGTTCGCGTTTGCCGTACGTGGGTTGGCTCGTGTATACCGCGGTGTACCCGCTAGCCCTCAGGGAAATTGCTCGGCAAAGTTTCTTGGCTCTCGGCTCCGATGTTGGGGAGAAAATGGAGGGAGGGAGCCAGGGCGCTCCGAGCAAAAAAGCGAGACGGGAGCGTACAATATGCGTATACGTATGCGAAAATTACAGAACGGTTTTTCGTTCGATCGCGCATAACGACTGTGCGGATG